TGTTGAAGATGGATTTTTTTTTTCATTCTTCCTAAAAAATCATGAATTGAGAAGGGTATTAGGTACTATTGGAGATGCTCTTAGAACATATGTGGTTGGATTAGGGAATTGAGTGCCACATGCTATCTCGGATCAAACTTCCATCTTAGACTGTGTTGATCCAAAGCATGTGGATAACAAGGTTCAGCTATTTCACATCATATATATACTACTCCATATAGCTCCTAGAATCCACTAGAGAGCGATTTGATTCTTACCGTCCATATCCGGTGCATCCATCGCGGCATCGCGGCGCAGCACGCATCGATTTGTTTCTCGTGATTGGCCCTGGTCTACACGTGCTTCACGCCAAATCAAAGTAAATAAAAAAGGAGAAAACCGCATCCGGGACATCGCTACCCACGGCCCGGGGTCCGCTTCCTCTTCCTCTCCCTCAATGGGCGGCAGACGCGACGCGGCGGCCTTCCTTCACGAAGTACTGCGCAGGTCGACGGCTTTCATCGCCTTCATCCTCTCTGCCAGCAGCGTGACATGCATGAATAGCGCGGGCGGACCAAATTTTACCGCTCGGTTATAGTGCCAACCAGACGGAGAGGCGGGCGACGCTTAGGGCGCTTGCATCCACCAGAGCGGAAGCGACGGGGTCGAGGTCTGACTCATCCTCATCTCCGCCAAAGCGGCTCCTCAAGTCTACTTTGCCATCTTCCTCGCATTGAGGTTCACGCCTCCTTTCCTCCATGTTGATCATCTCGACCGTGTCCGATCTTGATCTGCTTTGGACAAAAAGTGTGTTTGGTTAGGTCTTAACTACTTTGGTTAGGTCTAACTACAGTATTTGAGATTGATTTCTTCTTAGTTTTCCTATAGAAATTTAGTTTCCTTTTTGGTGGATTTTTTTAAGATTATATGAGATCATAACTGTAGATGGGCATACCATGGTGGATTGTAGTTCCAAATGATGGAACTGAGACCCAGCATCCATATGTATAGAAGGTTAGTATTTATTCCATCTTATATGTTCAGCCTAGGAAAAATAGTTCTGTTTTTTTTTTTCTCTAACTGGGAAATAGTTTGTTTTCAGAGGCAATTGCTCTTACACATGTTTCTATCTCATGCCATTAGAGTCGTAATTACATTCTTTTCAACCATCCCGCTTGCAAGATGCCATTGTATATGTCCGCTTGCTTCAATCACTATTTACTCAATTTGATTTCTTCCGTCGTGTGCACTCTCAAGAACTACGGTTGCATCAAATTTCTTCAAAGGATCCTAGAGCTTCCTATCATGTCGGAAGGACGATGTCGCACTTTCAGCCCACGCTAGTACCCATGGTACTTCTAATGGATCACATTATCGCGATTCAGAATTCGTTACATGCAAAGCCGCAAAACATGTAGTCCTTTCTAATGGCAAATGTTCCTAATTCCTTCTTCCGGATTCAAAGTTGCTACAAGACATTGCTACCGTGATGCCAAGTGGTATGATTCTAGCTATTGAATGTTTTATCCTCGATGCTTTGATCGTGCAAATATGTAGCCGCCATTGAATGTAATGTAAATAAAAAAATGTCTAAATTAGATGGCGCAGTTTTTCCATTGGCATGTTTCGCTCACCGATGGCTCACATGTGCTAAAAATTGTACATTTTATGGTGTTTCAAAATCAAGCATCTTATATGTGCTTGCTTTAAAAAAGCCTTTGGAGGTGGAAATCGGGGTAATGTTATCTGCCTAACTTCAACTAGCTCTAATGAATCACCAGATAATTTATGTTCAGAAAATATCGATGGTAATTATTGTAAGGACTTGCTTTATGTTTATTTGTTTAAAAATTAGATAATTTTACTCGAATGATAAATTCCTTGGAGCAGGTCTATGAATTCTTTTATCATAATGAAATTTTGTGATTAAAGATTTGGGCTATGGATATGGCGCTTTATTCTCTTCTCAATCATGTGATTCTAAAATGTAAGTTTACACTCATCGTTGTTTATTCTTCTACACTATTATCACTTCTCGATAAAATATGCGTCGAGCATCTTTGGGTGATGTGCTGGGATGTTCCCTATATGGCGATTTCTTTTATGTTTGTGCTTACCGGACACTAGAGTGATGACTTCGATCAAAACTTGCATGCCTACAATATAAGTCGTCCTGTGTTTGAATTGCAATCGCACTAAATGCCGGAATCTATTTTTTCTTTTTTCTTCTTGGCCCGTGGGAGGGGAGAATGTTAAAGGAAAGTTGTTCACTTGATGAATCTTTTCTACATTATATCTTTTTGAGCTAATGGTTTTGTTAAGCCTCTTCTCCCATAAAAAGAGGTAAACACACGCCTTGCAAAGGGTATTCTTTTGGTCATAAAAATCGTAGTGAGAGAGATCAGTAGTGTTGCCGATCCGCTTTGTGCTCTAAAAGTTAATTGTAATGTTGAAGGCTTACAATACGAAGTTACTAAATGGAAGCCATGACGCATCGAGCACACACCACTCGTATAGCAATGACCGCTTCCTTGCTCGGGAGTCAAATGTGAGCTTCATAACGCAAGTGGAGATCCAACATCCAATGTGTCGCTGGCACATTTGTTATTATCATTACATGGACAAGGTGTTCGTAAAACCTTTGAATGATGTTATTGATCATGGCAAAAAGAAATTGTTCAAAGAAAATGAACTTGCCCAAAGTTTCAAACCTATAGTACAGTCAAATACTATGAAATAATGTGCTTTAGGTGACCTTTATATTCATGGTGCTAGCATAATTTGCATATAAAATTAACACTAAATTATATTCATGCTTGACAGTCTTTTTGGTTAGTGATATCATGATTTTATTATGATAAAAAAATACCATATATTCTCGATGGCTTTACACTCTTTGCAAACCTCTGCTTTTGCTCGGGCTTTGTGTATGAAACCCAGAGTAGAACTACTCTACATTATGTCCGGTAAAGCTACCAGATCCTGTCATACTTCAGATAACTTCATCTACAATCTGTCATTTTCCTCTACAACATGACTCTTTTGACTTCTATATATTTTAGTGGGGACTAACTATTTACTTGGTTATAATACAATACTAGCTGGAGCACCAAATCTGGAAGAGGTCAGTTCACATTTTTTTACGATCCCTTGAATATTGAAACCACCTCTTCACAATTTTGAAACATGTGAATCTTCAAAGCTTGAGACCACCTCTTTTTGTTGCATAAAAGCTAAGGTAATTTCAATGTTCAAATGGAACTACACTCCATTTGTTCGACAAACCCCAATCTGTATAATGTTTATTCATTTGATATATGTTCTCTATTTTTATTTCAAGTTACAGGTGAAAGGGAAAGTTAGGAAATTTGGCTTGCGAAAGTGAATCGGTGCTTATGTCACGATGTATGAGCCTTAGCGGGTTCGGCCAGAACAGTTTTTTATTTTTAAATCATGTGTCATGTGTCCATTTATTTTTAAAATAATCAATACATAATTGGGCAAATTTGGATTTTTTTTTGCAAAGAACGTTATATGCTCCCTTTATGAATCCAGTCAGTATTTGCATATGTATACTTTTCTAAGTTCCCTTGTATCCCATGTGTATTCGCTTCATCATCATAGCTAAACATTATATATAATACGGAAAGATCTAAATGAATCACCGAAACAATACATATACCACATTGAAAGGGAAATACCACGTCAACATACTCCGGAAAGGCAAGCCACGCTATCCTCACGCATCCACGATGCTCGAATACCAGTCACAACTCACAAAGATCAAAGTGATGTAACCTTAGCAAGAGCGGTATCACAAGTTCACCGCAAGAAAAACACAGAGATGTACACATCACCTGCGTGCGCAGCGAAGCGCGCAACCCGGCCTAGTTGCATTAATGAGGGGATGGTATGGTGTGTTAATTTTCAACCAGGTTGCACAAGCACAAGCTACTGCAGTTACGGGCCCAGCAAGAAAATAGAAGCCACTCTATATACAACATGACAGTTGCATAGTATAGAATTGAAGGGATCAAGACGTCAGGTTTGGATTTTCCATTGTTGAAGTTTTCGCCTATCCGAGCTATAAAATCGGCAACGATGTCCTAGTGTCTTGCTATTGGTTCTCTTATGCGTTAGTTCAGAATTGAATGTTACATAGTATGGATTGACTTGCTGATAACACGCCAGGCAACTTGCCGTGGTAACGTTTGACATGCCGGAGAAACATGTTGCTTATGGTTTGACAAAATGATCCTGAGGTGTATAAGTCCATACCCTCTCCAGAGTCATGAATCAGGAAGTGACATGGGAACACAATCCAGAACGTGACCTAGGCCTTGTTTAGATTGCAAATTTTTGCAATCTGGACACTGTAGCACGTTTCGTTTGTATTTGACAAACTTTGTCCGATCATAGACTAACTAGGCTTAAAAGATTCGTCTCGTGATTTACAACCAAACTGTGTAATTAGTTATTATTTTTACCTACATTTAATACTCCATATATACGTCCAAAAATTAATGTGATGGAGAGAGAGTGAAAAAACTTGGAATTTTGAGTCCATCTAAACAAAGCCCTAGGAATTAGGTTCAAACCAAAAGCTCGTTGAGCTGCCTTAATGGCTCGTTTTAATAAAGTATTCTATTTGTACTCTTTTAAATTTAAAATCAAAATTAGCTAATTTTAAATGAAAGCCAATAGGGGTTCGGCTCATTAGTCGTCTCAGCATTTCCTGTAATGGAGAAAAGAAAACACAGACACGAGCATAGCAGGTGATTTCTTCTCCATTTTACCTTTATCCCTAAACAAAGGGTGAAGGGTAATTCTTCTTCGCGAAGAAAAATTTACCTCAGTTAGTGACCCAATCTTGCAGCGGTTAAACTAACAAGCCAAGCATATACTGAATAATATGTAAATTAATTGACAAAAAAAAGAAGAGAGAGTAGCTACAAAGGAACAGCACTGTTAACTGTATCTATCTTCAGAGAGTTGCTTATTTGGGTGGCAGCTACTCCAGGTCAGTTCCTCCTCACACTTCTCAAGAAGGAGGAGGTCTGGGTGATCTCCCGCAGCGGCTTGTCGGTGAAGCGTATGAGGTTGTAGGCCCACGCACCGGCCACCGTCCCGCATATGGGCCCGGCGAAGTACACCCAGATGCCGGCGTAGCGGCCGACGACGATCGCCGGGCCCAGGGTCCTCGCCGGGTTCATGGACGCTCCTGATACAGGCCTGTGCAGTGCATCACATCACATCACATCACATCAGTTGCGTTTTTCACACACTGTATTAGTTTTGCAGATATATGCATGTATTGCACTGTACTGTACATTGTATTTTTAGTTTTTTACCCGGCAAAGAGCACGTTTAGCAGGACGGTAGCTCCGACAGCGAGGCCAGCGAGTTCGCCAATCTGCAATAGAGCATGGATAATGTTACATGTCAGCTCATACGCTGTCCACGTCAGAGTTTTGTCTATGAGGAAGAGAGATTTAGGCCACGTTTAGTTGCCCCAAATTTCAGAATTTGGCACTATGCAAAAAGAAGATTTCCCGTCACATCAAACTTGTGGTACATGCATGAAGTACTAAATGTTGACGAAATCAAAAACTAATTGCACAGTTTGGTTGTACTTTGCGAGACGAACATTTTGAATCTAATTAGTTAACGATGGGACAATTATTATCAAATAAAAACAAAATGCTACCGTGCACAACAGTGCCGCTACAGTACCTGGGATTCCGACGGCGCCGAATCCGAGGCCGAACTAAACGCGGCCTTAAGAAAGAAAGATAATGTGCTTATGATTGGTTTCACTGAGGCACTCAATTCTCCAACAATCGTGGATTTAGCTCGCTGAGTAGGTTCAGGGGCAGGCTCGGACCAATATGGAGGGGAGAGAACGAGCAAACAAATGAATCGCTATCGATTCGTTCGGCGCTAGCACGGGATAGGTGGAAGGCAGGTTGCCCCAAATTTCAGAATTTGGCACTATGCAAAAAGAAGATTCTTCGTTACATCAAATTTGTGGTACATGCATGAAATACTAAATGTTGACGAAATCAAAAACTAATTGCACAGTTTGGTTGCACTTTGCGAGACGAACATTTTGAGTCTAATTAATCAACGATAGAACAACTATTAACAAATAAAAACAAAATGTTACGGTACGCAACAGTGCCGCTACAGTACCTAGCATTACGGCGACGCCAAATCCGGGGCCGAACTAAACGCGGCCCAATACTAACGAGGGCATGCAGCTTTTTCATCCTAGCTGCCAATCGGAAGCAACCGATGGAGAGAAAAAATAATGTTATTAATTAATTCTAAAGTATGGGTCCACAACTGGTCCAACTGTCGAAGTCGACGGCACCGTTGAGAAACTTTATTATTAGCCTATTAGTCTATTACACATGTGGACCAACGTATTTATTATTCAGAGCATATTATGACCAAACTATTGAAGAGATTCTTCATCATCCAATCTACACCTTAAATGGACAATGTTATAGCTAAAGAAGTAATAGCTACTCTATTGAAGATGCTCTAAGCCTATTCATAAATTTGGATTGTCCATTGTTTTTGGTAGTCTGCCAGCTCGGCATGTGCCCGATTTATAATTAGAATTTACTTGTGCAAAACTTTGTTACACACGTTGAAATAACCATTACACGAATAATTGATGAGTGCAGTTTGATTAGTCTTTTTTTGTGTGTAATCTATTGACCTGGGGTTGCTTGAGTCCAAGATTCAGTACAGATGCTTGCATTGTCGACTATTTAATTTATCCATTTTTGAGGTTGAAGACATGAGCGTTAACATTGATGTTTTTTTAGTGATTTCGTCAACTAATATTTTTTTAGCCTGGTCTCTTGTAAGCATCTGTGTCAGACACCATGTATACGGTGTTTCTTAAGGAGGGTGATTTCAATTATTCTATTCGTTTTCATTCTACCCAGCTCCTTTTATGACCGAGGCATTTTTGTTCCTCTGAAAGCCACACAATTCTATACGTGCACACTCGTGCCTACGTCATGCAACCAACCCAACTAGGATTAATCAGTTTTCCGCACAGCCATGATGAACAAAGTCATCAGATTATTAGTGTAATGTTAAGTACTTCCTTATTCCAAATTATAAGTTGTTTTGTCTTCTTTTTTACACCGATTTTGCTATATATCTAGACACATGTTATGTCTAGATATATAGCAAAATATATATCTAGACATATAGCAAAATTGATGTAAAAAAAATCAAAGCGATTTATAATTTAGAACAGATGGAGTACTATTGTTCCGTTTCAAATTGTAAATCAATTTTACTTTTCTAGATATATGGGTTTTACTTATATGTAGGTACGCAATAAAAACTATCTACCTAGAAAAATCAGAATAAATTATAATTTAGAATGGAGTGAGTACTTCCTTGTTTTGAGAGGGGAGTTTTCACTGTCAAGAGCGCCACGTTTGATGTTATGAATATTAACTTCGTTAATGCTATTTGTGACCATTCAACCAGTGATGAAGCATGTGACAATGGTCAAAAGTTCCTGGGGGAGAACAGATGCTAATTAACTTACGGCTGTGTGTTGTCCTATAAGTAGTGGTTCAAGGTTAAGACCGCATAAATTTTAGACCAGTGAGATATTTCCCGATAAGCTTCTATGGATATACTAACAGAACACTTTTTCTTTTGCTTGGGTACGGTGGATTTTCATTAAAAGTGACAGGCAACCATAATCCAACTAGAAAGCAACGCTCCCAACAGCGATGGTTAACATAGCCATTTGCTGATTTCAAAATGTCGATCACCTCCTTCATTTGCATATTTGTTTTTTTTTTAATTTTCGATCATTACTCAATCTATACTATCACGAACCCTTCAATATATTTCGCAAAATGAAGGAAAAAAAAGCATCTCTGATTCAAAACTTCAAACTCCTCGGCTGGCTAGTGCAAGTTTTAACGAAAAATTGTTGCTTGCCCTCTTGAATCTTGACGAGGAAGCCTTGATATCATTTTAAAATTTTGGATGAGGTCGATTGATGGTGGACAGCTGAAGCTGAACAAGACCCGTGACGGATCGACCGAGCATAATGGTCAAAGTTTGAGGTTTGGCGCTTACGGCTCTGTTGTCCGTGGCGACGCCGGAGACGACGAACATGAGGTTGAAGGAGATGATGAACTCGATCACCAGCGACTGCACGTCGGAGCCTGCCGGCACGGTGCCGAAGAAGTGCTCCCGCGCGTTCCCGAACAGCAGCCGCAGCGTCAGGCTGGCCGCCGTCGCCCCCATGACCTGCGCCGCCGCGTACGCGGGGACCTGCTTCCAGGGGAACCGGCCGCAGGTAGCGAACGCGACGGAGACGGCCGGGTTCAGGTGCGCGCCGGAGATGTGGCCCACGGAGTACACCATCACCATGACGGCGAGCCCCCACACGATGCAGATGCCCGGAAACGTCACCGTGCCGCCCGTCCGCAGGTTCACCGCCACCGCCGCGCACCCCGCGAAGATGAGGAAGTAGGTCCCGAAGATCTCCGCCAGGATCTGCATGTATGCAAGCAGAAGCCAAACGCGATATCACCGAGCATGCATCAGAATCACACGTCGCGTTCACATGGGTTGCTTCTCCTCGTTGCCGACTGCTGATTCTTTTGTTTGGATGTCGATCGGATGACGACGGGATAAGAAAAAAAGTGATGGCACCAAGGTGGTGACCAAGATGTTGTGAAGGGAGTAGCAACAACGCACAAGAATTGTTTGGACTTAATTTTTTTCCCCTTAGCCGCCGTGTACTTATTACAGTATTGTTCTGAATTTGGCCATTTCTGGGGCACAACTCAGATCAGAGGACATGAGCAGTTGTCATCTTGTTCTTTCCTCTGTCTGTTGCTCCGTAACAGTGTTTGAACACTACGTATGGATCATTCCTCCCGGCCCACCACACCTCCCCAAGGATACATAATTGTTTTGCTAAACATGAATGCAAGAAGAAGCACACCTTTTGCTGAATTGCAAGGAAGTGAAGCAGCCATCAAGTGATTGAAAGCAAGAGAGGCATACCTTCTGCACGAACGGCACGGAAAACATGGGGCGGCGACCGGCGGCTCCGTCCTGCTCCGAGCTCTCACACCTTGCTTCGTCTCCTCCTCTGCCTTCCTCCAAAGCCAGGGCGCCCTCGTGCACGCCGTTTGCAAGCTCTGCTCCTGCCATCTCTGCCTGTAGCAGCAGCAGCAGCAGCTAACCGCTCCGTGTTGCTAGGAGGAGGAAGAAGAAGATGACGATGAGGGAACAGCTTGGTCTAAAGCACTATTTATGGGGTCCAGCAGCAGCAGCTAACCTCTCCGTGTTGCTAGGAGGAGGAAGAAGAAGATGACGATGAGGGAGCAGCTTGGTCTAAGGCACTATTTATGGGGTCCAGCAGCAGCAGCAGCAGCAGCAGAGAGATGCACCGTGTGCATGTGTCGTAAAAAGATTTGTTTATCCTAATTACCTTCGTCGACTGATCATGGAGACTAGTCCACTTGTATGCGTGTGTGTCCGGGAATTCTTCACAACGCATATAAAAGAGTTTTAAATAATGGGCAATATGTGAACGCAAACTCCGTCATTTGGGAGTTGTTGATGAGTAGCTCTCGCGTGATCAACATGCATGTAGCGGCTGACCCAGAGCTCGAGTTCGCCATGTGATGATATCGTCTTTAGTATCTCTGAAATTTCATTGACTTTTGATATCACTATCTTGTAAAATCGTTGAGATTTTGTTGTCCCTTAAATACAAAAAAGTTTGTAAGTACAGAAAGAATGCATTTGTTAGAAACAAAGAAGTTATTCATGGATTCACAGCCTCGGTGTTAAAATCTATACATGGGCTAGTTCCCGTAAGCCCATTGATAAAAAAGGAAAATTGGTTCGGTAGCATTGAAAATTGAAAGATCATAAGAATTGGAGCTCGAGGGCGCAGAGCTAAGGTCTTGTGATCTTTTAATGCTATAGAACCAATTTTCCAAAAAAAGAATTATACATGGTTTGGAAAAAAAAATTCAGCGTGCGATTCAAAGAGGTGGCAAGTTAAGGTTATCCTCTGGCTTACAGTTGCGAATGTGTTCAGGGTTAATATTAGCAAGATAGAAAGAACTCTCTCGAATGCTGATCAGAGAGAAGTTCATGGAAGCTAATACTTTCTTCATGGGATTCATTCTTAGCATTCTTGTCGATCATCTCTGTGATGTGTACATGCACATAACATATGCAAAATATTTGTGATCCAAAGCATTTGAGGTCTTGATGATCTTCTAGCGAGCTTGGTGTGTACTGGTGACGACTTGGTGTGTGGGGATGAAGAAACCTCTTCCTTGGTCAAGAAGCTCCACGGTGAATGGCGCCGAAGTGACCTGGAGTGTAACACCCTAGGTGTTAGGCTTGCATAATTTGACTTGCATTGCATAAGCATAAACATCAAGCATTCATATATAAACTTTTGCATATGAAACATATGATTGAAACATATGAAACATGCCTTGTCATTTCATGTTTCCTTTTTGTGTGCTTATGATCATGAGTGAATAAGTGTAAATGGTTGATGTTGGTCACTGAAGCACCTTAGCTTCACTTATGATGACTAATGGAACATTATTCATGTAGACCCTTTTGTCTAATTAAGCTCCTAAGTGATGATATGCATGTTGACCTAGGAAGTAAAATATGTAACCAATGTATGAAATGCTTGTGTGACCTTATGAATAAATTTCCAGCTGGTTGAAATCGATTCGAATCGCCGTCTCTCCCGGATAGTGAGAAACTTGGCTAGCTCCAACGTCGTAGTAATTGTATTATGGAATGTGATGGTTCGGATAAACATGGAATTACTACACCGGCTATGGTTACTATTATATGCTCTTAAATGAAATACCACATGTTTGGCACAGGATAGTTGCTAATCTAGAGATGAATAGCTATAATTAACTTGATGACCAAAGTATAATTGTATAATTGAGTTAATCGCTTTTATGCAAAATATACTACCTCCACTTATAAAGCCTTGCATAATCTTTGGAGTTAATTTATTTCTTGTTTTGATGGGTAAGTCTAGTTGAGTACCTTCTCGTACTGAGGGTTTTATTCTCATTGTTGCAGATGGTACCGTCTATCACGGCTATTGCAAGCATTGCTTCTATCCCACCGTGGATGAGGAGTGAGGCTTGGACAGGCATCTCTAATAATCCTTCTATATGCTTTTGTGGATGGTGATCATGTGTTGGCACTGTATTGGAACTATGTTGGCAAATGCTACTTTTGAACTTTAATTTGCTTCCGCTACTATCTATCGAACTTGGTTTGTAATAACTCTATTTCGTACTCTGATGAATGATCTGTATCTGTGAACTTTATGTAACATGTGACATGTATGTTGAATCATGTATGATCTTGGTTGTATGTGGATCATTTATCGAGACTCGTCGTGGTACTCGACGGACAACCGGGTTTATATGGGCTCAAGTATGACAGTGCGACCGTTTGCGGGCTGCCATTGTACTTGTGCTCTTATAAATTGGTCGGTTCTGCGACATGGAGGGTTGGGAGGGACGATGAGTCTCCGTGGCTTGTGACACTAGCATTGGTTGTACGAGCCTTTTTGGCAAGGTCAACACTATAACTAGGGGAAGACTTGATGATTGAGAGTGGAACTTGGTGGAGCTCTGATATGGACTAAAGATTGCGGTCAGGCAACTGATACAATCCTATACATTTTTGTCTCTGGTGGTTTGGCCGAACATGACCTATTCTTTTCTTACCACGTTTAAGATTCTGTAGCTGTGCTTGATTTGTTTTGCCTTTGCCTTTGCCTTTCCTAGTGTTAGGTTAGTTAATAGGACTCGCTCTAAGTTGTAAAACTCTTTGTGGGTTTTGGTAGCTAGAACAGAATAAAAAAAATTCAAGGTACAAATCATACTATACTAGTTCATAATTTTCCAATGAAGTTTAAGTAGAACACTAGCCTTAAATTTTGAGACCCAATTTACCCACTCCCCGTCTTGGGTCTTTTCCCAAATTTGGAAATGCTCTAACTCGAGCGTCTGACGTTCGAACGCTTCACCCACTCTCTGCGCCACCGCCACCTGTGCCGCCCCTACCTGGCCGTCTGTGCGCCGCCGCCCAGTCCACGTTGCTGGTGAGCTCCGCACCACCGGCGAGCACACCGGTGACCTCCACGTGCCGACGAGCCTCCATTCGTCGAAGCAGCAAGGAGATGTTTGCGCCGAAAGAACATGTTGTAAACATATGTTTCAAGTATTTCAGGTGTTTCAGTGGTATGTTGCAAGTGTTTTATATCATGTTGCAAAAGTAGATCGGGATGTTGCACATATTGCAATGGCTATATATGTATGTTTCAAGTGTATGTTTCAAATGTTTCATCTGTATCAGACATATGCTGCAAGTGTTTTTATCTGAATGTTGCAAAAGTAGATCTGGATGTTTGCATATACATGCATGTTGCAAGCGTATCTTTCAAGTGTTTCAGGTGTTTCATACATCTATTGCAAATGTTTCATTTGGATGTTGCATATGTTTTCAATGGCTTTCAAGTGTTTTTTAGGTGTTTTGCAAGTGCTTCAGACGTATGTTGCAAGTGTTTCAGCTGTTTTCGGATGTATGTTGCAAGTGTTTCACCTGGGTGTTGCAAAAGTAGATCTGGTGTTGCACATATTGCAATGGGACCCACCTGTGTCGTAGCACCTACTGTAGATGCTAGGTGACGTCCGACAGCGTGGGTCCGCTGCTGGGGCGTCGCCAACCGAGCGCAGAGAAACCAAGCACAGGCATGGGGCACGCGAAAAAATAGGCGGCACATATTCCTTATCTAGTGAAGTTCAAGTAAAACACTAGCCTTAGATTTTTAGAGACCCAATTTACCTGCTCCCCCTCTTATGTCTTTTCCCAAATTTGGACTCGAGGTTGCTTTCATTTATGTTAAAACAACATATTTTGCTTACTTGCCAAGTTTGTTTAGTTAGATTGTCTTTTGTTAATATAACCTATTTTCTTAAATATAAAAAAATGTTGAAGTTTGAAATGGGCTTTTATTTTCCACCGGTTTTTGTTGACATTAGGAATATCAATATGGATTAGTGCTACTAGTGTGATTTTATTTTGAATGTCCGTTTCATGAAATTTCAGTGAAACACATCATTCTCATTGGCTAATTTATGAATAGGAATGCGTGAAAATAACCACGTCATATATAGTAAACCTTTGTTGTTTTTTAAAGAATCGAGCACTTAATGCCGCTATTTGACCTTGAAAATACCTTAAATACGATGTTTTCTTTTGACGATTTTTTTTTGTATGTGTGATTACACGATACAACATAAATACTCACAATGTACGCATGTAAATCCTATTCCTATGGGTATCTTTTATGAGCATCTTTGAAGACTAGGCTAACGTTAACCATGAGGTGCATGATCCTCCCTATCGACGACTGTAATACCCTAAATTTGCAATCTTTTAAAATAGTAAATTTGATTTATTTATGTTATATTGTGTGCATTCAAATATAGGAAATTAATAATTTTTGGGAAATTAAAATCAAATATAAGGAATAGAAACATGTTGATGCATTCATGCTGCTGTGCATTTGCTTTTGTAATGATTAGCTTTGACTAAAATTTGAATTGAATTCAAATTTACCTTGAAAATGAGATTGGAAAATTTTATTTATAAAAATAAAAGGAAATTTCCTTCCTTTCCCTCCTCTTCCTCACTTTCGGCCCTTATGGCCCTTTCTTTCCCGCGGCCCGCTCGCTCTTTCCCCTCTCTCCTTCTTGGGCCAACCCAGCCACAGCGCCGCTGCATTCGGCCCAAGAAGCAACGCCACCCAGCGCAGCCAGCTTTCACCATATTTTGCCTCGCCTTGTGACAGCTGCAGTCCCAGCCCCGCGTGTCAGCGCCATCCCCTTCCTCCGCGCGGCTCGGCAACCGCTCATGCGCAGCTGAGCAACAACCGCCACGCGCTCTGGCGTCGTGGGAGCATTCCCCGCTCTCGGCCTCGATAAAAAAAGCCGAGCCCCCGCAACTCCCCCGCTGCCTCTCCCGCTCTGTTTTTCGCCCTCGCTCACGCCTCGAGGCCATAACACGTCAGACGGAAGAGCTCCGCCGCCACCGTCCTCACCTCACGCCTGCCTGCCCGTCCCCGAGTCGCGTTAAGTCTC